AATTCACATTTAATATAAAGTTATTGAGTGGTGTAATACTTAGTAAAAGTTACACTAGTGTCGTTTGAACCCCGATCTATATATATATATATATAAGATGAAAAACATACGTGTTAGCTTTTGTTTCTTTAGTTATTAATCATTTCATCCTAATGCATATAAAAAGAATATAACTGCATTTTGAAATTATTAAAGTTCCACATAGTAATAAATAAAAAAATTCAATTAACTTTTTTTAAAGTATATAAAATATGATAGTGTACTTGATTATTCACAAACTCTCATTTAGAAATAAATATCACAAAGCAAAGTGAATCCACAAAATTGTGCCACCATAAACTGTGATTAGATTTTTGTTTTCATTTCCTCTTTAACTCAAGTTCCTGCATACATCCGAAAATACTAAATACGTGTAAGTGAGTTGTGTAAGTACATGTCATTGAGAATAATTCTACCCCTAAAGTCGATCGGTTTTAATGTGAGAGATTTGATTAAGAAATTTACAGATCTATAACGTAGATATGTAACAACTAAACATGCATATACCCTACACACCGCACGCATAGACAAATTTAAAGACAAAAAGTTATCATGCAATCTTAGCTTTTCTATTTTGATTACAAACGTCTCCTTTTTTCTATCATTGATCTGTGCGATCTTTTCTTTCTTATGTTTAAATTATTCTATTGATTAAAAATCAATTTATCACAGAAGACACGGCTAAAATAATGTGTTGTGTTGCTACTTTAAAGTCAAGTTCATACCTGAGGCTGGAAAATGATCATCATGCGCTAGCTCTCTCACATGCAGTGTCAATGTCATCACCATTGGGGAATATGAACTCTTGCATGCAAAAACGAAATCACCTAGCTATCAATTAAAAACCTCATGGGCATGCATACAAATTAGGCTTTGGCATCCATCATGATTCAACTTTGAAGGTAATTAAACTGATGATTTTTCTTTGTATTAATTAATCTGGCTATATATAGGGTCTACCAATACATAATGATCAAGTCCTTGGACACCATTATGAAAAATAGATTTACATAACATACACGCACAAGCCACATATTTGTACAATTTTTCATCCATTTGTCTCACTCTATTTTTCCTCCACAAAAATATGCTAGACTTTAATTGTACATCCTCACCATTATATACAATATGATATATGGTCCACTATATGTGAGGTGATGCTCAAAGAATTATTCAACCTCTTCTATAAAAAAAAACATTTCTAAGAGAGAAAAATATAAAGAAAAAATTGAAATAAACTTGTACAAACTCTCCTAATAATTTCTCTAAGATCTTATTTTTAACTTACACAAGTTAATTTTAATTGATGAAAAAAATTGTTTTAATTTTTTCTTCTTCTAGAAATGTTCCTAGAAAAATTTACAATATATATATAAACCTTAATCATATCTATACATCTCACTTTATTGTTGTGCCCAATTTGAACCATAACGTTGTCTTCAACGTAACCGGGACACACGGCTGGGATATATTGCTTTCACCGACACACCCTCAAGAACATGAATCGACAAATAATTCATCACTTAATTGAAAACCCTATTTCAGCTTTTGATCCATGTGTAATATACGGATAAAAATATGGAAGAGTAGCATATACATATCACGCATATATGTAACAAAATATACTCCTTTTTTCTTTTCTTGTTTATATATAATAACCAAAAGTAGATGTAAATCACTTTGTGTACAGTGACTGATTTTAGCGAACCTTGAAATTGTGCGTCTCCACACATATGGATAGACATTATGATGGGTTATCTTGTGGACATGTTTTGCGGATCTTTTGCCCGTTTTCGGTTGTTAGTTAGGAACTGCAAATTGTGCTCTTTTATATATATTTCTCTCTCTATCTACACCTACTACTAGAATAGAATCTCTATGAAAGCTTTGATATTGGGATCAACATTGGTCCTCTCTCAATCATCAACATTGGTCCTCTCTTTTTTCATGACCCAAAAAAAATACAAACACAATTGCCTAGTGCCAACTAAATTAAACCAAAAGAAAAAAAAATAATATATATAGGATCATAATTTTCTAATTAAAATTAGAGTTTTATCATTGTTGACATTTTATGAAATAGTTTATTTATATAATCAAAGTATAATTTTAATTTTGATTAAAAAACAATTGTACTTTATTTAAGTCTTGTCTTTAAAGAAAAGGAAAAAAAGAAGAATATACTAAACCTTTTGTTTTGTTTTGTTTTGTCTTTATTCTTTTCATTGATTTAGATAGGTAAAATAATCAAGAGGAGGAGATATATGATAAGATGGTAAAACTAACCACAAGAACCATTAAAGTGTATATATTAATGACCAATATAATATATATAAATTGAGAGTTCTAAGAACAAACCTCTTAAATTAAGCTTTGCTTCATGAAGAAAGACACATAAAAGCTACCTATCTATCTAACCAAACAAACTATCTACTACATCTCTTCTCTTCTAAGCTTGTTGAGCAAAGCTGTGATTAGAGCATCTCTCTTGTCAGCCCTAACTTCTTCCCTAATCCTTCTTTGCTCCTCCCTCTCTCTCCATCTTTGATCCATCATCATCCTCTCATTCTCCAATGCCTCCATGGTTTGTCTCCACTCCATCTCCTTCAACCTCCTCTCATTCTCCCTTGCCTCAAATGCCTCCATCCATTGTGCCTCCATTTGCATCTGTTGCCTCATGAACTCTTCCATTATCTCCTTCAAACTCTCCAAATTACTATTGTTGGCAACACCACCACCACTTCCTCCACCAACTACCATCTTGCCCTTCTTCTTCTTTCTGCTCATGCCACCACCCTTGTGATGAATATCACCCTCACTCTCCTCATTGCCCTCTTCCTCTTCCTCGGAAGATAGATGCTGCACCCCCTTCTTCTTATTGGACCCTCCTTCTGCTTCAGCCCACAACATTCTCTGCATCCTCGCTGTGAAAATCGCTTGAAGCTCATTGTAAAACGGAAATTGCTGCCTCATCGCCTCTGGCTCCATCGTTTCACATCCCTTTAAATCTCAACAACAAAAAAATATACTACTATCACTACACAAAACCCATGAGAATACATCACCAACACCAGCACCCACTTTTTTATTTAAAATATACATATTTTTAAACTTGTGATTAATGTTACTTTTTTCGAATCTCTTGAAAAACAAGTCAGATAAATATCAACCGAATTCATAGACACATAATAACCTCAAACAAGACCATGGACACATAATAATTTCAGACCAGCTATCATATGGGATCACAGACACGTGGTGTTCTGACGAGATATTAAAGACCAAAAACTATATAAGCTAATATATGTGATGAATATGAATAATTTTATTAATTGGGTTGATGTAATTAATATATTATACATGAATATAAAAATAGTACCTTATAGCGAGTAACTAGGTTTTTCCACTTGCACTTGCACTGCTCTGCACTTCTATGGTAACCCTTTTCCTTCATGCGGTTGGAGATGACTTCCCAAAGCTGCTTGTTCCTCTTTGTCTCCATGAAAGTCTGATCCAGCTCTGCACGGATCACGAGGAACTCTTTTGTCTCTTGGATGCTCCATTGGGGGAACCTATCCGTCACATCCACGTTGACACTAGTTGTGATGTTATGAGGGTGGTGATGGTGTTGTTGTATTTGTTGTCGATGATGGTGATGGAGATGATGACCCTCCATGAAAATTGAAAGTGAGAGACTCCAATGAAATATGGAAAGAAGGAGAAGAAGAAGGGAAGGAGGAGGTGTAGAAAAAGTTATTGAGAGGAGTGTGTTAATTAATTTTGGCTATGGAGGAGAGAGAGAGAGAGAAAAAGAGAAGAAGAATATATATGTAGGTGGAGGTGTGGTGTGAACATAAGGTGTGAATCGCGTAATAAAGAAGAGAGATTTTCTTTGGCTTAGGTGTACAAAGGCAAAGTGTTTCTTTATTTCATGGAAGAAATTTAAGAGTCCAAAAATTGAAGTTATATATATGTATAGTAACAAAATTAAACAACTCGTGGAAGCTAAAATAGACATTTCATCCACAAATTTGTGTCTCTTATGTGTGCAATGCTTAAAAAAATTGAATTCTTCTTCTTTTTTTGTTCTCTTTTAGAAGCATTTTTAAATATATAAATAAATAAATAAATAAATTTGAAACTCGATCACAGTCTCATCTATCTACGCGGAAACTCTCTCTCTCTGTTCCCTTTTGTTTTAATTTTTTTTCCCTTTATTTATTAGCGTTCACATTGCGTCAAAGTTTCGTCACGCTGACACGAAAAGTCTCACTCCGCGGTTCCTTTTATTTTATCCTCTACGACCACTACGGTCTATGACTAACTAAGTTTTTTTATACATATAAATAGTTTTGAAATTCTACAACGTTAATTATTATCATGTATATATATCTTGCGTATTTTTTAAGTATAATTATCTGCAGTATTGCAAATATAATACACATTATTTTATAATTCTGAGCAGAATAATTACGAGTAAAAAGGGTACTAGAGTATATACATAGCTAATGAGCATATAATGTTTAAAGAAAATATTAAAGTTAGGTTGTTTATTTTAGGTTTCATTGTGTTTTGTGTAATGCTTTATTTAACTTTGTGCGCGTTCTTTATCTGCGCTCGTGGGAGGGTGACATAGGAAAGGGTTGGCGACCGTAATACCCAGGATGTAACCCCCAGATTTATATCTTACTTTTGCATGGATTTCCAAAATCCAAAACTTTGAGTTAAAGCGATATATTCTCCCCTCTCTCTCTTTGTCTCTGTCTTTTTATTTTTTGTTTTTTTTCTTCTCTGATCCCATTAGACTTTCTTGTTTAATGATTTCAGTATATGTAAGTAGTATTTGAATAATTGTATTGGATGTTAGTTAGTTGCAGTAAACAATTTTTTTTCACTGTTTTTCATAGTTTTCTGTGGCTTTTTCTTGTTTCCCAGCTAGCACGTACAAGATATTCACTAGTACAAAATATAGAATTTATGTCACTGTATTCTTGTTGAACAAAAAAAATCTGACGTTAAAAAAATATAGTGGCATTTTCGAAATTATAATCAAGTTTTTTACGTTGGACCTCATAGAGACCGACGTAAATTTGAAAATCTACGTCAGATATAGCTTGTGTCCGACGTAAATTTTCCAATTTATATCGGCCCCAATGAGGTCCGATGTAAAATATTTACAAATTTTTCTCGCGTCACTTCTTCTTCTTTGCACGCAAGTCAATATTTAAACAACAGAGCTTTGAGTGTATGTGCAAAACGAGTCTTCTAAGTTAACATTTCGTTTGAGTGTATTGCATCTGAGTGTACATTTGGGCGTTTGAGTGGTTTTTGAATTTTTGACCGATTGCATTGGGCTCGCGTTTCACTAGTGCAAAAATTGGATTTAAAATCGGAGTTTTAAGATCGGTTACCTTGTAACCGATCTTAAAAGTGACGCGGTGGCAATTCTGTAATAAATAACATGAACACTTGTAAGATCGGTTGAAATTTAACCGATCTTAAAAGTACTTTAAAGATCGGTTCTTTTATAACCGATCTTAAAAGTGCCACTTTTAAGATCGGTTCTTTTATAACCGATTTTAAAAGTTCTACTTTTAAAATCAGTTATTTCAGAACCGATTTTGTATGTAGTATACAAAATCGGTTCTTAAATAACCGATTTTAAAAGTATCGTCAGAAATATTTTATATTCCCCCTCCATTCTCATTATCTTCAATTTTTCCCTCCATTCATTTGTTTAATCTCTAAAGCTCTCATTTTCTAAAGTCTCCAATAAGGTAAATTTCGTTGTCGTTTTCGTTTTCATTTTGGTCTTCTCATGTTCTTCTTGTGTCTCTTTTCGTTTTTTCATGATTTTCTCATATCTGGTTTCTTTGTAGGTCCAGTTTGGGTTCAAACCTAGAACAGCCCATTCTGCAAGGAGAACGGGCCATTCTCCCTGGGAGAACGGATCGTTCTAAAAGTGACATTTTATGCATTTTAATCAGACTGGAACGGCCCGTTCCAGTTTAATTTTTTTCCACAACCATACTTTTAAAATCGGTTATAAAACAACCGATCTTAAAAGTTAACTTTTAGAATCGGTTGTTTAACCGATTTTAAAAGTTAGACTTTTAAAATCAGCTCTTTCAAGATCGGTTAAAGAACCGATTTTAAAAGTTAAAAATAACCGATTTTAAAAGTTAAAAATAATCGATTTTAAAAGTTTTTTTCCCACTAATATTTGAAGTTAGTTTGAAAAATACTTTCTTAATATATTAGCTAATTTGTTGAAAATAAATGTATGTATTGATCTATTAATATATTAGTTAATATTATTCTCTTCTTCGCATTTGGGTGAATCATCATTTGTTGATATATTAGTTAATATCATGTGGAACATCCTGTTTTCGAAACAGAACGGCCCGTTCTCCAAACAGAACGACCTGTTCTGCTTGTACTCGTTATGTTTTTTTTTGTTTATAACTTTTTTACGTCAGGTCTTTGCAATGTCTGACGTAAATTTACGTTAGCTATCATAATCAACGAAAATTCACGTCTCTCGCATTAACGTCAGACTTTTTTCTGACATAAAAAATTTAAAATAACAAATGTAAATTACCTTTTTTGTATTAGTGATTATAAGATTTTAATTTTGAGTCATGTGAACTTATATTATTAGTTAATTATGTATGCTTAAGTGATTTGAAAATTCTTCTAAAATAAAAAGTCATTTAAAATTTAAGTATGTTGTAGTTATTATTTAAATTTTGATGATATACAAATGCATTAACAAATAAAATCAAACTCAAATTCAATATAATCATTTATAAATTTTATTTTCATTTAGTGTTCAAATATTTATCGAAGTTACAAAATGTGTCGGTTGATCCGAAACTGCATGATAAGATGTATCACTTTGGTTTTAAATTTTATATTTGAATTAGTTTTCAACTCAATTTGATCGTATATAACTTAATTTTTTTAGTTAAAAATTTAGATTAAAATAAAAACACAAAACTCTATGTAACTATTAATTTATTTAAAAAATTTCAGTAAAATTATGAATTGTTTATCACTTCCTGAATGTAAATTTAGATATAAAAATAAGAAAAATAAAGTTTAATAATAAGTTTTAACTAGTAAAAATAAGGAAAATTAATTAACAGTGTCATCTCTTATATAACCGGATCATTACTTAATTCAGAACCTGTAAAGACTTGTAAATATAACACGTAAAAGTATAAGCTTTAGTTGAGTTTGAACATATTTTAGAAACTCCAATTAATTTTTTTCTTTTGTCTGATCCGTACGTTATTATCCATAACTTGCATCTGGTCAATGGTCATGTTTCGTCGCTTATGTTCATGTACATTTCTTGTGATCGATAAAATAATGTGCATGGATTTTTATCATTTGTTAATTAACTGCTTAAATAATTCCTCAACATTCCTCCAACAAAAGACTCTAACAATTAATAAACTCCAATATCCATTAAGGGATAAATACATATTAAAATTCTTTAAGTTCAGATTTCATTTCACCTAACAATAGCCAAAAAGAGGAAAACTAAACTCTTGATTAGTAAAACCTTACATTACCATTATTATCTATTTATATATTCATTTTATATTATTATTCATATGTGTCTCACAATAGTTGTGTTGCTTAACCACTAACATCTTATTAACAAGATTTTAAGATCGAATTCCTTTTTATCGTGTTTTGAACTTTTCATTACGTACTTGTGTTGGGAATAGATAAACAATATGTAATTTAACTGAAAAAAATTTAAGAAGTTAGTGGTTAATTATATTCTTATATGAAATTGTTTCTTGTTCTAATCTATTATTGAGAAAAAAATTTGAAATTTTATATTGAATAAATATAAAAAAATAATAAATAAGTTTGTAAGTAGAAGACAATTCTTACCTTATAAGTCAATTTTGTAAGATTAAATTATGTCTAGATATGTTTAAAAAATCTCATATCTACAAGTTTTTATGGATAAATCCAAAATGAGTAAAAACTAGATATTGTAAATAGATATTAATGAATAATGGGTATGAGTATTTTTTATACTGGCATATTAACCAGAGAAAGACGAGTATATACCCATTAAAATTTAATTTATGTAAATATCCTTATAAATATATTGACTTTATTGTTTTAATTAAACTTGCTAATATTCTAATTTTTAGGATGTTTTCAAGATTGTGTTGAACATGATTTTATTGACTTATAATTTATTTAAACTTTTGCAAATATGATTTTGTTTAAATTTTCTTTTAGTTTTATAATAGTTAAGTATTATATTTCATTATCTTTTATTTTAATTTATGAATTAAAATATTTTATTTTAATAATTATTGTTTAAACTTTAAATTTATGAGATTAAACATTTAAAATTTAATTTCTAAATTCACTTATTGTTATAAGTATAATTATAAAAAAATGTCAAAATTTTAATTTTATAATGTTCAAACTTTTTTTTTATACAGATTTTATTTGAATTTTAATTACATTCTTCAAATTTTTTTATGCAGATTTTATTTTCCAATTTTTATAACAAAAAAAATGTTATAAATAATTAAATTATATGATTAAAATATTTTATTAAATATTTTTAAAAAATATTTTTTTTTTGTAAATACTTATAAATATTTTTTAAATATTAAAACATTATATGAGTACATATTTAATTAATATCTATAAATATGAGAATATGTATAAAATAAATATTTAAAATCAAAAAACTGACCGATTCAATCTAATTTGAAACGGTCAACTGCATAACCGATCCAATTTAAGATTTAGATCGGTTAAATTAGTTTTAACTGGTCTGACCGGCCAGTTCGATCCGAATTTTAAATTCAAGCTACAGAGAAGATAGTAGAAAGTTAGTACTTGCCCCACTTTGATAAGATTTTT